TTTGTCTTTTTCCGTGTCTGGCAACGGATCGCAACCCTCAGTGTTGCCCCCGTACCGGACCGGGGACCAGCAACGGGATCGCAACCCTCGGCGTTGCCCCCGCGCCTCGCTCAGCCAGTGAGCGGGAACCAGTCCGTATGTGGGATCCGAACCCTCGGGCGGGAGCGCCGCCACGCTTCCCAAGCGGCGCACCATCCAGTGCGCCACCGGGCCGGCCCCTGGATAAACTGTTTATACAATTATTTTATGCTGTAGTTAGCATTTAGTTAGTAAATAAATATTCACTAAAAATGAACATTTGAATTAGTTAGAAAAATTTTTTAGAATCTGAAAAGGAATTAATGACAAAATATTGTGGGAACCTCTTATCATTTATATATACTGTTCAAATGATTACATATTAAGGTTTTTATTTGTTATGTGATTACAGTTTACATTTTTATGTTAAAATGAACATTTTTTTTTTTGTCCTTTTTGAGACCGGCCGCACCGTGCTCAGCCAGTGAGCACTGTGAGCGCACAGGCCATCCCTATATAGGATCCGAACCCGCAGCGGGAGCGCTGCTGCGCTCCCAGCGCTGCACTCTCCCGAGTGCGCCACGGGCTCGGCCCTAAATGAGCTTTTTAAAAACACATATTTATACTTTTCCATGAATATCTGTTAGTATCAGACTTAAAAACCTGAAAATAAACAAGAACAAAAGCAATTCAAATAGAGATGTCTAGGAACTGAAAGAAAGTCTGCTGATTCCCCACTTCCCCTATCATATATATATACACATCCACACCAAAGCCAAGTGATCTAATAAATTTATATTTTATGAGTCAGACCGACACTCATATCTAAGGAACAAAAATTATGAAGTCATTAATGAAAATGCTATCACTATATTCCTGAAAACTAGAGTTAAAACAAATGATGAAAGAAAGAGAGGATAGAAGGCTCATTTGTTCCTGTGATTACAGTAATATGATGCAAAGTGACTTATATGACTATTTATTTGCCTTTGGTTGAACATCAGAATATATCTGCCAAGTATGCTCCATTCAAAATGTGTAAAATAGTAAAGGATTTGAGATTCCTGCGGTGGACATAAGGACTTAAAACTATCTTAAGATTGTTAATATATGCACAATATATTCAAGATACTCATGCCTCTATAGAGTAGCTGAAAAAATTGTAATAGAAGCATTTTAAAGTGTTTTGTTGAAGGATGAGATTTGGTGCTAGCACACTCGATCTTTCGCTCCTTTAAAAAGATCAGTTGAAATGGAATAAGAATAAAAGTACAAGAGTAGTTCAAAAGGTTCCTGAAAAAATGGAATTAAAAGATAATAAAAATTTTTCCATGAAGTTTTTGAAGCACTCTTGTAATGTACAGCTTCCCATTCTGAACACATGTAATATAAAACATCAACAAATCCATAATGTGTCTGCCAATACTGTAAAAAGACCATCGAAATAGATCCTGTCATTCCTGAATGGGGGCTGGAAATGCACCTCATCCATGTTTCCCTAGGAAACTGCTTTGTAATTAGTTACACATAATTGTTTTATGTTTGCTATCAACATTTACCATAAAAAGGAACATTTGAGCTAGCTGTCTGTCCGACTGGTACCTGGAACTTTTCAACATTGTGATCTTGACAGAATGTTGGCTATAATACATAATCTACAGTACCCTCCAGCTCACAATGTGACCGTGAGGCAGGCAAGATTTGTGAATGGACTCTAGTCTGGATAATCCTTGGCCAAATTTCTAACTTCTCAAGCTTCTTTCACTTTCATATCATTAACAATGGGCATAGTGTTTTGGAGTATAATACCTAACTCTCCAAAAAATATTTCAATAATAATGAATGAATGAGACTCTGGTTCTCATACGAACACTGAAGAAAGAGTTGAAAACTGGAGCATCCAAGTTCAAAGCATAATTGCAATGAATTCTTACCTGTTCCAGGAAGTCATAAGCAAGTATTTAGTTCATACATTTTCAGAATTTATTAGAAATACACACCCACACACACACAAAGACATACCCTATGAGGATGGCAGAGAAGTTATGGTAACACACAGCCAAGATCCAACGTTTATTACATACAGCCAGGCCCTATTATAAGTGATACTTATGTCTGTCCATTGAACCCAGTGATCTAATTCTAGAGTTAAATTTAGCTTTACTGCTGAGCTGTGAGATTGCCTTGTTATTGGCTTTTGGAATTTGAAGATTCTGAGTTGAGAGAAAATGTACTCCCTGACAAGCTTGAATGATGAATTTTTCCAGAGCTCATTATTAGTTCTTCCTGTGGCTCTGTGTATTTGATTGGTTTGTTTCTTAAGTCTTACAGATAGGAGGGAAATTCTTTGGATTCAACATCATATTAAATAATATTTCTGTCAGAATAACGTTGTTTCATAAAGACCAACTTATATAAAATGGGAAATTACAGGTGGTGTTTCACAGTGAAAAGAATTACGATCTGAGGTTCTGATCTTAATGTGGCTATAAAGTTGTGGGAATAAGTCATAGCTCTCATTGTGCCACAGTTTCCCCATCTGGGAACAATGTTGGACTGGATGAACTCAATAAACATATCCAACTTTAGTTCTCTATGATTGTAGGCTACTTTGGGAATGGCTGCTACACACAAAACAAAGTACGACATTGAGACAATTATTATTCAAGCCTGAAAATCTCTTATACCTCTTTTCCTTCCAGTTGTCTAGTTTGGACCTAGTGCTACTCTGATTTTATTTATTTATTTTTTTTTATTACCACCATCATTATTTTTTTTTCCTTTAAATTTTTATTTTGTCAATATACAATGTGATTGATTATTATGGCCCATCACCGAAACCTCCCTCCCTCCTCCCTCTCCTCCCTCCCACCCAAGAATGTCCTTTCCGTTTGCTTGTTGTAACAACTTCAAAAAATTGTAGTTGTTATATCTTCTTCCCCCCCCCCGCGGTTTTTTTTTTTTGTGTGTGTGTGTGTGTATGTGAGTGAATTAATTAATTTATTTTTAGCTCCCACCAATAAGTGAGAACATGTGGTATTTCTTTTTCTCTGCCTGACTCGTTTCACTTAATATTATTCTCTCAAGGTCCATCCATGTTGTTGCAAAT